GGAGGGATGGGCGCTGATAACCACACTATTAGAACTTTTCTTTGGCTGCCTCCGGGGATTTAGCTAGACAAATCAAGATTGGCCTGAGGAGAAATCCCAGGGGCTCCTGTGAACCAAGCCCAGACCACTATCACCACCACGGGCATCTCGCCTCAAGCAGGGAGTGATCAGAAGGAGCCAATCTGTCTTCCCTGGCAGCTCCCTTGCTGGGCTGTAGGCAGATGGTCCCATGGGCAGAAGGAGCACAGCACAGCTCATCAGTTTCCTATTACTCAGGACATTTCACTAATCCCTCCATTTATAAAAGGCTTTCAGACCTGGATCGGACTGCGTGTCCCCAAGGGAATAGAATTAATGCTGCTGGAAAGAAAACTTCCCAAGGAGTTCAGGTCACCTGCATGTGTTCCTGGGGACATGTGACCCAGGTGGTACCCAGATAGAGGACCCACCCCAGGTTCTGAAATCTCCCACAGTCTGGAGTGGAGGAAAGAGGCAGAGGGATCCAACACTGAGATGCCCTTGGACTAGTTCCTGAACCTCCCCACCAGTCCAGTTCCTGTAGGTGAGCAGTCAGTGCTCGGCACTTAGGTGCTCAGAATAAACTGCTTTTATTACTTGGATCCAAGCAGCATGAGCGAACTTCCTTTGGCAGCTGGGAGCTTTTTGGCTGACTGTATTGCTGGGCGGCAGTTAGCCCCGATGGTAATAAGAATAACATTTCTTATTACAGAAATGTAATAAGGGAGGAGTGGGGTCAGGGTGGTCTTTGTTGAGGTTCAGGTCAAAGATGAAATGGATGGGCCTTACTGAGATCTGATTGGGTGCACCAGCTAAGCATGTCAGCGGGGGCCCAGAGAATCCTTAGGGCAGAGGCTCTAAACTCTTGGGTGCACATTTCTACATCACCTGAGAGCTTTCATAGGTCTGCCAGGCTGGGGTGGGGGCCGGGGGAAACTGCATTTTACGGAAGTCCCCATGCTCTCGGGGCCAGAGAGACTCACGCTGTTGGTCTGCTTCCTCTTCTAGTGATGCTCAGTGTTTGTGGCAGTTGAAAACGGTAAAAGCACTTCTATACTCATGATACCTGACCATCCTCTGAATTGAGCATTATGTTCATTTTTCATGAGATGCAGTAGAGTCACGTCTTCCAGTTCGGTGTCCTTACCACTGCACTACAGCGTCCCCCTTATAGGCCCCCTCCTCCCTCTGCACTGAGCCACCAGGCCAACAGCCAATCTTGCTAAGCCCCCAAGATAGTGATATGTTACGATCCTTCTCTGCCCACTAAGTGGCAACTACAAAATACTGAGAGCTCAGGGACGCTGTTTCTGAGACCAGAGAACAGCTGAGGACTCCCAGGTTTGAGCCGTCCTACTCCCACCTCATGCATTGATGCTTTTTCTGATGGTGCTGGAACCCAGATTTCTATTCTCTGCCACCCTCAGCTCCAGGACCAAGAGCCTGTTTATTTTAATACCTGGTGTGGCACTTGGGGAAGATCACACCTCCCCCGTTGTTACCCATTTCTACCTCCTGAACACTAATCCTAGAAACCCAACCAGCCCCCAGATATGTTGTTAGTAACCAGGATGTTTCTTGAAGTTTCCAAGTTCACTCCAAACTTGCCATCTCAGCTTCTCAATTAGCTTTTGCCCCATCATCCTTAATGCTGCCAGCAAGGGCAAAGCTGATTCAGAGGCTCACGAGACCCAGGCAGACGTGGGTCCCAACGCCCTAGGACTGAGACAACTCCACTCACCCTCACCCCCACTACGCAGGTGATGGGGGATGATGTTCAAGTCTAGCCTCTGGCTTTCCCTCCCTTGTTTCATTCACTCTCCACTTATGGTCAGAGGTTCCAGGATATATGGCTGAAGAGCTTCTGGAAACTAGTGTAGGGTCCTCGGCTGTGATGGACAAGGCAGAGTAGGCAGGTTTGGGTCTTTGCCTTTTCGGTCCCACTCAGTGTCTGGGCCTCAGCTGCTGTGGGTGGACACACACACCTGCTCCCTTAGAGCCTGAGCTTGCACCTCAGCTGTCTGGTGTCCTCAGCTGAACCAGAGCCACATGAGGGTCAGACAGAACCGAGGACAGTGCCTCTCAAGCTCTCACCAGGCCTGGCAGATGTGCTATGGTTGAGTGTCGACCCTTGAACCAAGAGGTCACTAGATCGATTCCTGATTCCCTCTCAGGGCACATGCCCGGGTTGTAGGCTCGATCCCCAGTAGGGGATGTGCAGGAGGCAGCCAATCAATGTTTCTATCTCTCTATCCTCCTTCCTTTCTCAAATCAATTTTAAAAAAAAAAACATTTTAAAGAAAAACTCTCACCACGCTAATCCTACCGGTAGTGAACAGGCCCCTGGATATACATTCTTAGCTCAAAGTGACCCTCAGCAAACTAAAATGACAACTGAATCTTATGTTCAGGCAAATTTTGCATTTTATGTTAATACTGTGTGTGTGTGTGTGTGTGTGTGTGTGTGTGTGTGTGTGTGTGTGTGTAAAATGCTTTAAATGACCTACCACTGGAGGCCAGTGTGAGGCTCCATAATTAACCTGTAGCTGTGTGTTCTCCTGGTACAGTGGTCGGCAAACTGCAGCTCGAGAGCCACATGCGGCTCTTTGGCCCCTTGAGTGTGGCTCTTCCACAAAATACCTACTTCTGCACATGGGCCACGAAGTTTCAATCGCACCGTATGTGCGCGCCCGCGCGTGGTATTTTGTGGAAGAGCCACACTCAAGGGGCCAAAGAGCCACATGTGGCTCACGAGCCACAGTTTGCCGACCACAGTTAACGAGAAGCTTTGGAGAAAACGCCCCAAGGTATGAGTTGTGAGCATTGCAGTTTCTTATTTCTAGTCCACTTGGTCTGAGATAGAACCAGAATGGAGGGTTATGGCCCCGGGGAGTAGGCATAAAGCTTAGGGCCTTCGGGAGAGTAAGAATTAAAGCTTTTCAGTCACACTCGGGGGTAGACAGTGCCCTGGAAGTTTTAGTCAAGTTAGGCACTAGGTGACCATTGTGATCTCAGGGGCCCAGTAAATCTGCTTCCCGACCCCCCAGCCCCCCAAAGCGGCTCACCATCCTTCTGGGCCTTGTATTTGCTTTTAGCTGCTCCCATGACCTTCCTCCCCATACCCCCACCCTAACCCCTTGGGAGCCCTCCCAGAATAAATAGGGACTTCCCCAAGGTGATGGTCAAGTTCCTCTCTGAGTGGCTGTGTCTCTAAAAGAGAAAGGAAAAGGCCACCGGAAACTTCTCCATGCCAGGTGCTGCGTTAAGGACTTTACACAACGCAGCCCATTTCTTGCCTTGGGGGTCACATCTCCCATTTTACAAATAAGGCAGCTGGAGCTCTGAGAGTTCAAGTTGCTTGCCTTCAGTCCCATAGTAAGTGGTAAGGCCGGGATCTAAATCCAGACCTGTCTGATTCTGAACTCTGGCTCATAAGCACTGTGCTCTCTGTCTGGACAGGAGAGAAGGTGCCCCAAATGTAGAGCCCAGTGAGGAGAACTAGGTTCTGCGAGGAAACCGTGGCCACAAGTAGTAGAAAGTGGTTGTGGGTGATGCTGGGTCCCAGAGGCAAAGACAGCTATTTCAGAGCTCCGCCTCCTCCGCCTCCCAGCCCTGCAGGCATTTAAAATACAACTGTGACCAGGTTGCTACCCTGCTTCAAAACCCTTTAATGGCCCTAGCCGGTTGCTCAGTGGTTAGAGCGTCAGCCCATGGACTGAAGGGTCCCAGGTTGGATTCCAGTCAAGGGCATGTACCTCAGTTGCAGGCTTGATCCCCAATCTTGGTCAGGACGCGTTCAGGAGGCCGCCAATCAATGTGTCTGTCTCACATCAATGTTTCTGTGTGTGTCTCTCCCCTCCCTTTCACTCTCTCAAAAAAAAACAATGGGAAAAATATACTTGGGTGAGAATTAACAAAAACAAAAACCTTCCATGCCGTCCCATCCAGCACAGGGCTATGTCCAAACTCCTACCTGGCAATCAAGGCCTTTGTTACCTCACCTCAGCCCGCCCGGCTCCCTGTCACTCACCGTGATTCCTGCCCCAGTGCAGGTCTGGCCCTGGACTCACGCCCAGGCCTCCTCTTCCACAGCATCCCCACCCCAAGTCCATTTCTTTGAAGGCTCCTTCCCTGCAAGTGGCCTCCACGGACTCCTCTAACTAGGTGGCCCACTCCCTCCGCCTTCCCTCAGAGCCTTGCCTTGGCGCAGCCCACAGCGCAGCGTGGCTGCTGCTGGTCCCCGCTGGACGGCGAGCCCATTCCCAGCTCAGCGGCTGCCCAGCTCGGGACTCCCAATCTTTATATTCCACTTTTTGCCCTTCGGTGAGACAACTTAGCCTCTCTCCGCCTCGGCCAGCGCATCTGTAACAGGATAAACACTCCACAGAATTGAGAGGGTGACATTTGGGAATACAGCCGAAGCTCGGAGCACGTTGTCTGGCACACAGTAGGTGCTCATAAATGTTAGCTACTGATAACGACTGTTTTAGAATAAATACGTGGGTGGTTCTGCCCTCAAGGCCTGGTGTCCCCGGTCCGGAGAGGAGGGGGAGCAGCTGTTCTGAGGGTTGCAGAGGTCATTCCCTGGGAGCGGAGCAGCTGTGCTCTGAGCTAGCCTGGGCTGGAGGGAAGCAAACGCATGAGGGCCTCCCTGGTCCCTTCCTCCCACCTCCAGGTTGCAGCTAACAATTCCGCTAGCGGAGGTGGAGTGGGTGAAGGGCGGGTCTGAGGAGGAAAAAATCCGTCCAGGGTCGTCCCAATGAATGTGTCAGGCTCAGGGACCCAGCGGAACGCCAGCCACTCACCGCCCCCCTCCCCGCCCCGCCCCGCCCGCGTCCCCATCCCTCCTCCCAGCGCTAGCGGGCGGGCGGCGCGCTCGGAGGGAGCAGGGGCTGGAGGTGCCTAGCCCTTGGCGCCCGCACCTGCCCCCCGCGCCGCCTCTGAGCCCGCCCCGCCCCGACAGGGCAGCCGGGGCCCCCTCCTCTCTCCCCCCGGGCCAGGGAGCCGGGGGCAGCGCCGGAGCCCGGGGGGAGCGCGGCCCCAGGGCTGGGGGCAGCTAAGACGGCCCCGGGTAAGCGGTGGGAGGCGGGGGACGCGGGCGGGTCAGGGGCCGGGCTGGGCCGGGTGGGGGGTGGCGCGGGGTCCGGGGGGTAAGTGAGGGGGTACGGCTGGGGGCACTGGTGCCTGGGCGCGGAGGGAGGAGGGGGCCGGCGGGCTGGCGGGGAAGCGGCGCGGGGCTGCCACGTGAGAGCTGGAGCTGGGGGTGGGGGTGCCTGCAAGGTGCTGGAGGCGGAGATCAGGCTGGGCTCTAGCATCCCCCCCTCGCCCCAAACTCCTACCAATCAGGTCATGGGTAGCCCAGCGTCCCTCAGAGCCCCCACCCACCCACTCGCACAGGAACGTGGTGGGGACACCAGCAGGCAGACGGTGACACGGCCCACGGGACCCAGAAAGCCCGGTCCTCAGTCTGGGGCAGAGACTCCCGGCATCCAGGCCCAGGGGAGAGGACGAGAGGCGGGCTTTGGCCCCTGGGTGAGTCCCCAGGCTCTTCCCGGGCGAGCGCTGTCTGCAGACTCACTGCAGAGCGCAGGCCTTGGGGAGGGAGGCTCAGGGGCCGGGCCCTGCTGCTCTGGACAGCCCGCACTCACCCCCACCTGCTGGGCGTGCGGGATTAGGAGACACTTAGACCCAGGACCCCTGCCAGGGAAGAAGGAGGGGCACCGGTCACCTCTGAGTCAGGGAGGGACCACACTTGGGCCTGGTGAGTTCCAGGAGCCTGCCCCAGCCTAGGGGCCTCTCTTGCACCGCTTCCTGGTGCCAGCACCGTGACCCGCTTTTATTTCCCCTTATTCCCCCTAAAGGACTGATTCCTGGGCAGTACGTGTGGTGTCCAGGAGGATGTGCAGGTGGGGGTCATCCTAGATACCTGAGTTGCCACCCAGAGAGAGGCAGAGGACTCTTCTTGGGTTCCTTGTCCTCTCTACCTGCCCTCGATGTCCCCCTCCCCACCTGCTTGTCTGGTTATGTAATTAACCCAGCTGAGGTTCTCCGCCAAGCTGGCAGTGTCCAGGGGTGCCTGAGGGGCCGAGGGCCTGGAGGGGTTGATGGAGAGGAGGGACTGGGACTTACCCCAGTTGGGAGCCCATAAGCACCTGTTGAGGAGAAGACACTACATGGGGCAGGAGGCGGTCAGGGTCCTACTCTTAGTTGACAGCTCAACTGGCTCTGCGGTCACTTCCCTAAGTCTCTGGGGGTTGCTTTTGGTTCTTGTTTTTACTGTCAATAAAATGGGGGAAAGAATCACAAACACACATACACACACAAAGCATGTTTGTAAACAGCAGTGGATGGTGACCCATCCCAGGGTTGCTAGGAGGTCCTAGCAACCTTAGATGGAGGTGCATAGCAATGGCCACTCCTCATTGGACACCTACTCTGTGCCAGGCACCTGGCTTTACCTGTACAACCACACCATACCCTGTGAAGTTTCATGCCCAAGGTCACACTTGAGGTGAGTGGCAAAGCCGGGAATCCAACCCCGGTGTGTCTCCCTCCAAATCCTGCCTGTATAGTTTATGCTGTCAGTACAAGGACCTAGCGGATTAAGTCCTCTGGACTAGGAAAGACCACAGTGCATTCAGCTGTGAACTGTGCATGTGTGGAAAGCATGCATCCTCACAGAACACATACATGCAGCCTGAAAAGCACAGCCCTAAATCCAGCAAACCCATCTCTCCTGGACCCCTTTTGCAGGCACTGGTCTCATCCTTCCTGGGAATAGTCCCCAAACAATGTCTCAGGCAGGTAGCAGCTCCCTGGTCATCACCCCCCCTCCCTCTCCTCCCCATCACCCCCTAAAAGAGGAAAGGCACCTAGCTAGGAGATTTACATAGATTTTCTCAGAAGTAGGGGCTATGGACCCATTTAATAGATGTGCAGAGTGTGGCTCCAATTCAGCTAGAAAACATAGCTGTGGTTTATAACCAAGCTCTAAAGTCCCTGAAACTGAGCAAGCATAGAGCAAATGAATCTGTGACAAGGTTCAACCTTGTAGCAAGCAGCCCGGTCCTGGCTGCTAGCACACCTGCTATGTGCCAGGCCCTCTGAGCTCAGGGGGTTGCCAGAGAATCAGACACAACCCTTGGCCTGTAGGCATTTACCAGCTGGAATCACTAGACTTGGAAGAAGTACTGCGACATTGTAGAAAGGAGTAGCTGGCATTCCCAGCTGTGTGACTTTGGGCACAGTTCTTACTCGCTGAGCCTTCTCTAAAGTGGGAACCCCTATCCCTTAGGGCAGTGGTCGGCAAACTGCAGCTCCGAGCCACATGCAGCTCTTTGGCCCCTTGAGCGTGGCTCTTCCACAAAATACCACGTGCGGGCGCGCACGTACAGTGCGATTGAAACTTCGTGGCCCATGCGCAGAAGTCGGTATTTTGTGGAAGAGCCACACTCAAGGGGCCAAAGAGCCGCATGTGGCTCGCGAGCCGCAGTTTGCCGACCACTGCCTTAGGGGTATCGTATTCACTGAGGGTATCCTTGTGGGCACGCACGCTAACAGAGCGAGTGCTCGACAAGTGTTGCCCTCCAGAGGCAAGAGGTCATCTAGTCCAGGGTCTCAATGGCACCATTTGGAAATGGGGGGCATTTGGGGTTGTCATGGTGACTGGAGGCTGCTGCAGCTGGCACCTGGGGATGTAAGAGGTCCTGCAGTGTGCCAGTCTTCCTGCCCAGTGAAGATTTCTCCCTCTAAGAAATGCCAGGAGCGCCTCCACTGAGACACACTGGCCTCGTCTCACCCCTGAGGGTGGAGACCCAGACACGGCTCAGACTCTGTGGGGAAGCTGGGCTCGACGCTCCGCAGCCTGCCTCGCTGGCCAGACGTCAGGCCATTCCCTGCGGTGGGAGGACAGGACAAAATGAAGGAAGGATGGCGAGGATTTCAGTAGATACGATAGGGGTTCTGGGCAAGGGAAGGCATTCTGAGTGGCTGAAACAGCTTCAGCAAAGACCCTAAAGCCAGCCACCTCTTGTCCCCACAGTCCAGGTGGAGGCCGCAGAGGGCCCAGGGCGGGCAGGGGCAGCAATGACTGGTCCTGACGGTGGCTGAGCCCCCAGCCCCTGGAATATGCAGCCCGGGGGAGCCCCAGGCAGCGGCGAGGACGCGGTGGCGGCGTGGGGCGAGAGGCATGGTCTCCACCTACCGGGTGGCCGTGCTGGGGGCGCGAGGCGTGGGCAAGAGTGCCATCGTGCGCCAGTTCCTGTACAACGAGTTCAGCGAGGTCTGCGTGCCCACCACCACCCGCCGCCTCTATCTGCCTGCTGTCGTCATGAACGGCCACGTGCACGACCTCCAGATCCTCGACTTCCCACCCATCAGCGCCTTCCCTGTCAACACGCTGCAGGTAGGAGGGCCCACGAGCATAGGGGGGCAGTGGGAAGGGTAGGGGACAGGCGGGACTTCAGCCCTCTCCAGCTCCACGCTGCACCATGGGCCACCAGGAAAGCTTAGAGCCGTACCAGGAATCCATTGTGTGCTGGTTTATTCTACAGCTATTTGATGAGCTTTATTAGCTTTATTTATTATGTGGGCCAGGCTCTGTAGTGGGCACTGGGGTAGAAAGGTCAGTAGACGGGACAGCAGAAGAAAAGGCCAAGACCTGGCAAAGGTGTGTTCTCAGACAGGTCTCTTGCCCAAGGGGCTTTTCCCTTACGTGATGCTCTGCCCCTGCTCTTAGGACTGGCCTACTGGGCACCCTTCCTGCAGGGGTTAGATTCAGGTGCCCCGGGTGCCAGGACTGACAGTGCTCCTTCCCCAAGCTTGCAGGGACCAAGTCCTCCTTCCTTCTCTCTGCTTCTGGCTTCAGAACGGGTGGGTGCATGGGGAGCTCTAAGACACTTTGCTCACTGACGGCAGCCCCTCACCAGAGGAGGATAGGCACAGTGGTGGAGACAGGAAGGCAGGGCCATGGCTTGGCCAATTGTAATTATGCAAGTACAGCTGGGGAGGGACTCAGGATCAGCACTGTCTCAGCAACCCCGGGCAGGAGAGCCTTGGCCCAACCTCAGGGACACTTGTTTCTGCCATCACAGGTAGGGGGATCAGCACCAAAGACAATAGCCTGATCCAGGCAGCCACCCCTTGGGAGCAGCGAGGTCAGGGCAATGGGTCAGGGTCTAGTTCCCCAAAGGAGCCTTTAACAGTAGCCTGGGTCTCAGATCTCACTCCAGGCCGGCATCAAGCTTTGTGTATGTTTCACATTTTGTTGTGGACTTCATTTTAATTTAATTTCGAGTTTGGCCTCGGTAAGACGCAATTTAAAAGTTCAAACTTGGTAGAAAGGTTCACCCAGAGAAATCTCAGTGCCACCGCTGCCCGCTTCACCCTGATCCTTGCCCTGCTCTCTAAAGCCACTCTCCTTGTTGTTTTTTTTATTCAGACTTCCAGTGTTTCTTTACACAAATAAGAAAATGTGTTCTTATTCCACTTCCTTTCTTACATTTAAAAAACAACACTGTTCTGGACCTTGTGTTTTGGACTGAATGTTATAAGCTGGAGATCCTTCCAAGTCATCTAGAGGGCATCTCATTGTTTTTTATGACTACGCTGCAGTCCATGGGAGAGGTGTACTAGGCAGTCCCCCACTTGTTGGACAAGCGGGTTGTTTCCAATCTTTTGCTATTTCAGATAGTGCTGTAACGAGCAGCCTTGTACACAATCATTTAGTACATAGGAGACATATCTGTGGGATGCATTTCTGGAAAGGCATTGCTTGGATCAAGGGTAAATGCACCTGGAGTTCGGAAGGTGTCAGACTCCCCTCCCATCTATAGACTTACATGAGCGCTGTTTCCCCCAAAGCCTTTTTTGTTATTGATTTGAGAAAGAGCGAGAGAGATAAATTTATTGTTCCACTCACTGATGCATTCATTTGTTGTGTCTTGTATGTGCCCTGATGAGGGATCGAACCCGCAACCTTGGAGTATCAAGACGATGCTCTAACCAACTGAGCTACCCAGCCAGGGCTCCCCAAAGCCTTGCCATCAGAGTGTATTGTCTGACAATCTGATAGATGAAACTTGATAGTCTCTGTGTAGTTTTTTTTTTTTAAATATATTTTATTGATTTTTTACAGAGAGGAAGGGAGAGAGATAGAGAGTTAGAAACATCGATGAGAGAGAAACATCGATCAGCTGCCTCCTGCACATCTCCTACTGGGGATGTGCCCGCAACCCAGGTACATGCCCTTGACCGGAATCGAACCCGGGACCCCTCAGTCCGCAGGCCGACGCTCTATCCACTGAGCCAAACCGGTTTCGGCAGTCTCTGTGTAGTTTTTATTTGCATCTCTGATTATGAGTGAAGTTGAGCATCTTTTCATATGTTTAAGGGCCTTTATATTTCTTTTTCTGACAACTATTCATGCCCTTGGCCCATCTTTCTATTAGATTGTTGGTCTTTTTCTTTCTGGTTGACCCTGAGTTTTGGACTTTTTAGGATGTCCAAGACTTCACTCCTGGAGCACAAGTAACAAATATAAAACCCAAGTATCCTGATGGCACCACCTGACAGTAGAATAAAAACACATTCTTTCCCAATTCCAGGTGAAATCAGCCCAGGGGAGTGGTGTTTCCTGGGTCTGAGCCTCAGTTGTCCCTCCCGCAGCCCCCTCTCCTCCTTCCTATCAGAGAAGGAAGCTGAGGTTAGAGGGCTCAGCAGCCACCAAAGGAATGAGCAGCGAATGCCCGGGTGAGACCCAGGTGTGGAACCTCCCTCATCTCCCAGGTCCTTGGAACTGGACTCAGTTTCCATCGCTCCTTCTTGTGTTTTGACAGGGCCCAGAGATGGTCTTTTACCGCCTGGAACCCTTCATAGATCAAGCTGGAAGGAAAGTTGAGCTTTCTTGTTCCCTCCCTTCAACCAGGGGTGAAAGGACAAGCCAGCCAATCAGGAGCCTTCCTCCTCCCCCTTTTAGGAGCCTCTGGAGAGAAGTGGGTGGGAGGCAGCCTGGCGGCCCCCTTGAGGAGTCAGCATGTTGGGAAAGAGATGGAAGAGGTGGGGCTGTCACCCTGGCAGGCTGGCAGCTGTTCCCTCTCCCCAGCAGGGAGCTGGAAGAGGGAGGGAACCTCTGCCTGTTTCCCCATTCCTCCCACTTGCCACTAATCACTCCTATGTGGGTTGGGGGAGGAACCATGTACAAATGTGGGTCCTGGGCTCCTGGAGCTCACGGTGTCCGGCGGAATGCCGTTTTCGCTGGCCCCAGAAGCCAGTTAATGGTTTCCTACAGTTTTAGATTTGTCCTCAGTGTCTTCCCCCTGCACCAAAGTTAAAACTCAGCACAATAAAAAGATGCCACATCATCTCCCTGGGGAAATCCACTGCAGCAGCCTCTATGCCTCTGAGTTGGGAAGTACCTTTCAGGGGCCAGACACACTCTCTACCACCACCACCACCAAAGTCTTTTCCTTTCTGTTCCTTCTCTGAGGTGGAGAACCTGCCATAGTCCTCCTTGATGCCTGGTCTTTTCCCCAATGCAACTCACAAGCTGGCTCAGGAGACATGCTGCACCTCCTTCCCATCTTTTGCCTGGCCCCTCAAAGGAGAAGACCCTGGTTCCCCTTGGCCCGGAGGCCTCTACCTCCACCCCACCCCCACCCCTGCTTCAGAGTCCATGCTCTTTCCACACACTGGCTGCCTTCAACTGCTCTTGCAATTGCCATCTGCTGGCAAGTTAATTAGCTAATTAATTCTTAAGGAAGGAACTTTCTCTTTAGTGCACTCAGACTTTCCATGGGTCTATTCATCTTGAGCTGCAACCCCACCCTGAGAATTTGCCACAAACATTCAGGAAATTCCGGCTCCCTGGGGCCTTGCTGTCCATCAGTCCCGACTATGTATCCAGTCTCAGTCTTCTCAGACCTTCTCCTTCTGTCCAAGGTCAGAGTGGAACATACAGAAGGGGAACATCAGATAGCAATCAAAGGGCAGCGTGACAGACAGGAGTTGCACTGATCCCAGCGTGAACCAAGTGGGGTTCAGGACCATGGAGAGCTCACCAGGTTAGGCAGTGCGCCCATAAGGAGCCTGCTAGGAGCCAACACAGTGCGCAAGGTACTGAGTGGGGAGGAGGAGGAGTTACATAAAAATGAGGGTGGCTTGGTTCTGGTTCTCTCAGGAGCTCGCAGAAGTGGGGATCTGGAGATGGAAACGGTAATAACCAAGGTATTTGCACACAGGAGATTAAGGGAGTAGACCCTTGCTTGTAGGAAGGCTTCTTGGAGGAGGAGGCATTTAAGCTAAGCCTTGGAAGATAGAGACTTTTTCGGTGGCTGAGCATCCACTTATGAAACAGGAGGCCATAGTTCGATTCCCCAGTCAGGGCACATGCTCAGGTTGTGGGCTTGATCCTTAGTGGGGGGCATGCCAGAGGCGACCAATCAATGATTCTCATCATTGATGTTTTTATCTCTCCCTCTCCTGTTCTCTCTGAAATCAATTTTTAAAAAAAAAAAAAAAAAGATAAAGACCATTTCAACAGCTCCCAATATGCACCAGGCCATGTAGTGGTCCCCGAGGTCAGACAGTGTGACCTGCCCTATCCCAGCTTGGGGTGGGGAGGCCACAGCACTGAGCTCCATTTTGCCCTGGCCCTGGCCTCCTGGGGATGGGTGGGTGTGAAAGGCTTAGGGTGCTGTGGCAGGTGAGAGTGCTGTCCATCTATGGCTGGAGGTGGCTGGGGACAAGGGGAACCCTCGTGGCTGCTCTAACCTTGGCCTTAACTGGGGGTGTTGCAGGAGTGGGCAGATGCCTGCTGCAGGGGACTCCGGAGTGTCCACGCCTACATCCTGGTCTACGACATCTGCTGCTTTGACAGTTTTGAGTACGTCAAGACCATCCGCCAGCAGATCCTAGAGACAAGGTGAGGGCCCAGGATACAGGCCATTGCCACCCCAGTGGATGCCCTAGTGCAGTGATGGCGAACCTTTTGAGCTCGGCATGTCAGCATTTTGAAAAACCCTAACTTAACTCTGGTGCTGTGTCACATATAGAAATTTTTTGATATTTGCAATCATAGTAAAACAAAGACATATTTTTGATATTTATTTTATATATTAAAATGCCATTTAACAAAGAAAAATCAACCAAAAAAAATGAGTTCATGTGTCACCTCTGACACGCATGCCATAGGTTCGCCATCACTGCGCCTGGTACTAGCCAGCTTCCACGGAAAGGGTGCAGTGGAGGGAGGCAGATGAAGGCCCCTCCAGTACCCACACATCCAGTCAAACACACACACACACTCGTGACATTTTGCTGTTCCCCATTTCTATTAACTCATTTTGGGACCCTTACCAGGGGTTGGCTAGTCTAATACAGTGGTTAGATCAGGGGCTCCGGGAACAAGGCTGCCAGGGCCGCTCGGCTGCATGACCAGGACAGTGAATGTGTACGCCTCAGATTCCTCATCTGAAAAATGGGGCTAACACTGGTACCCACCCTTTGGATCAATTGTGCAGATTAGCGAATGTCATGTCACTCCAGAGCTAAGCCCTGCGCCTGGAACAGACGTAAGGTAGCACTGTTATTGACCAGGCACAGCCTGCCTTCATTGAAGTCCAGTGGCTGCGACCCTGGTGGAGTTCTGAGAGTCCCACCTCGCCCCCCAGGGTGATTGGCACCTCAGAGACGCCCATCATCATCGTGGGCAACAAGCGGGACCTGCAGCGCGGACGCGTGATCCCGCGCTGGAACGTGTCTCACCTGGTGCGCAAGACCTGGAAGTGCGGCTACGTGGAGTGCTCCGCCAAGTACAACTGGCACATCCTGCTGCTCTTCAGCGAGCTGCTCAAGAGCGTCGGCTGCGCCCGCTGCAAGCACGTGCACGCCGCCCTGCGCTTCCAGGGCGCGCTGCGCCGCAACCGCTGCGCCATCATGTGAGCGCGCCCACCCCGCCAGCCCCCGGGGCGCCCGAGGCTGCCGCCGGGACCGCCCGGAGTTCCTCCTGGGACTGCCCGGCCTGAGCAGCGAGTGGCAGGAAAAGAACTCGGGGGGCCCGGGCCGGAAACGCCCCCGCCGCCACGCACCTCCCGTTGAGAGGCGGAGGGCGGGAGGGAGTCTCCCCAAACGGCCCAGTCCTGTCTCCAATCTGTCTTCCTGGGACGGCTCCTTTAGCGCTGAGGTTGGCGCAGTACCCAGCCTGGCCCCAAGGGGCGCCACAGCCTTTTGGGATTGGGGTGCGCGCAGGAAATGGAGGGTGGGGAAGGGGAGGTGTTGCCTTAGCCGGTCCCCCGCGAGTCTTCTCCAGAGAGTGTGTCTGTCATTGCCCCGCGCCTTCCTCCCGTGCCCATCGGTCTGCCCAAGCGTCTCTTGGACTTACCCACTCTCTGGTCCCCCTCCCCGCCCCCAGCTCAGCTCACAGGGCTCTCATTTCTTCCACCTCCTTGTTGCAGATCCTGGTGCCCCTCTGGCCGGCAGCACCCCCGGCGCAGGACAGCGAGATGCGGGTGGTCCTAGGACCACCTTCGGTCCGAGGGTTGAGGTCCCAGATTAGTCAAGGGGAGAAAGCTGAGCTCTGCCCTCTCCAGGGAGACCTCCCCACCCAGCAGCCCCGAGACACAACAACCTACCTTCCAGCCTTAACTCGATGGTCCGTTCCTGCCGGGTGCCCCTCACCCCCTTACTGACCCCAAAGCCAGATCACCCCCTGGGTTAGAACTTTTCCCCTGACAGAGCGTGGAGAGGGAATCCCCCAAAGGAGAGATTTACCTCCATGACGCCAGGCTCCAGCCCCCTGTTCCTTCCTGCATTGGGTGGTGTTAGATTGGGGGGTGTTGGGTTTGGGGAGCTGTGGGGGGCAGGCTGGGTCCCGGAGTGGAGGTTGGGGCCCAGGTTGTGCCAGCAAAGGCTCTGCTTTTCCATCCACCCCAATCAGATGCCCCTGCTTGAATCTCAGGTTACCCTGATTAATCTAGGGAGGGGTAGAGCCAGAAAAAGAATTATGGGGACCCCTTGCTTGAGGGAGATATGCCCGCTTTCTGCCCCCCCCCCCCATTTCCTGGTTGGAGGCCCTCAGGATCTACACTTCCTTGTGCCAACACCAGTTGGCCCTATGCCCTGACTCACTCCACCCCGTTTTCTCCGGCTGCCTGGCCGGGTTTCTACCTCTCCTCACCAGAGCTGATCACTGTCAGTTTTGTATTGAATTAGAAATAACAAAAATAATGAAGATACCAGGAGCGGCCTGAGGGATTCCTGGGGGACTTGGAGGCCACACAATGGTGCGTGTTCCCTGCCCCCAGGCCAAGTTCTCCTTGAGGCTGAGCCCTCAGCCCTGGGCTGATGGGAGGACAGCAAGGTTAGAAGAGGGGCAGATAGAACATCTCGGCCTTGACCTGGCCCAGCTTTGTTGTATAGATCAGGAAATCAGGTAGCCCAGAGCGGTGATGGAGAGGAGTCTGGGGGAGGGATTGTGGGTGGGGAGCTTATCATCCAGATCTAGTGTGAGAGGGAATCTATGAATTTCCCAGCTGATTCCCCCTCCACCCACCTGGGTAGCACAGCCCTACAAGGACCGCCCTGACCTGGGCAGTCCAGTGCCCCTGGTTCTAGTCCCTGTTGTGCTACGTGACTTGGGGCAAGTGACCCGCCCTCTGAGCCTCCCTCTGAAGCAGAGGAGGTGGCTCCCCTTCCCCACCCCCTGAGTGGCTGGGAGGGTACGGAAGAGGGCCTGCCCCCTTCCTCCCTGCATCCTGCTCCCTGGTTCCCCAGGGGGACAGGGTAAGGGATGGCAGCATCTCATCACCACCGTCGCCCCAGCTCTGAGGCACCTGAAGTGGGGGTGGGGGACCCAGGCCTCTGGCTGCCCCTGTGGGAGCCATTGGAATGTATTGCCTGCCCGTCCCACCTCACCCCCTCTGCTCACCCAGGTCTTTGGTTTCGATTTCCTCCACCCCCATTCTGAGTCTCTGTCCTTCTCCCTGCCTCCCCCCACCCACCCAGGGTTTCCCACCACAGGGTCTGGAAGTGTGTGTGACGCCCAATGCGCTGTGATCGGAAGTCAGATTAAAAATCAGGGAGTGTTTTCCCTCGTTTCTGTACCAAGGTGTTGGTTCTGTTTCTGAGGGTGGAAAGGAAGGGGCTCCCTACAGAGCTCTGCTGGGCAAGGAGGGGAAGGGTGATGGGGAGGCCCGAGTTTTGGGACTCAGGACAACCAGAAGAACCAAGGGGAGGCCCCTGAGCCTTCCCACTGATCAAAACCCTCTGCCACTCAGGACAACTTGCATAACTGGACTCAGTCCCAGTTTCTGCCTCTGTGTCTGCCTCGCTCACCGCTGAGCTTCTGTGGTCCCACTGTCATAACTTCACGGGTGTCGATATGTTAACCAGCCCTCCTGACTCTAGGGATCTCAGTCCCCAAGCCCCAGAGCCCAGCTTTGAAGTCTCACAGGAGCCTGTGTTGGTGGCTGTTGTCCCTGTCCATGGTGCTGACGCACCAGCCACCTCCAAGAGATGGGCTGTCTGGGGGTGAGGTTGGCTGAACTTCAGGAGAGAAAGACCGGCTCTCTCACCCCAGCTCCCTCCCTGATCCTCTTCCCTCCAGTGGGAGAATGTTTGAAGCTACACTTTCCTGCCTCACTACAGCCCTAGAGAGAGCAACTCAAGCTGGAGACTCCAGGACAGACCCACCCGTGTTTAATAACATAAGAATTGTGGAAACAGTGGGCATGGCCTAAGGACAGGAGTTTGGGGAGCTGTTCTGGGGGAGGGTGATAAGGTATAGGGTGGCCCCACCGCCCCTATCCCAATTCTGGAGTTGGAGTGGAGATGATGGGCTGTCCCATTTGCTAGTCTGAGCTGACTGATGCTCTATCTGTCTCCTGGCCAAGGCCCTGTATCGAGGTGAGGGGCCCTTCCTTCTGTTCCTGCGGCTGGGATTCCAGTGGCTACCTGGGCATTCCTTTCACCGGCTCTGGGATGAGAAGCCCCTCCTTAGACCCAGGACTCCTCCTCGGGTGGGAGCGGATCCAGCTGTTGAGGCCCCAGGCTCTCCGAACGTGGGGGTCTGCTCTCCAGTGGAACGGCTGCCTCTTTCTCCTCCTTTCCTTCCTCTTTCTGCCCTGGCCAGGCTCCATCCACCAGGGCTGCCTCCCCTCCCTTCCCACCCAGCGCTGACACTCTTTCCAGCCTGCCGCTTGGGGGCGCCCTGGCTGGACCCAAGCGGAGGTAGGCCAGGGGTTTGGGGATTCGCGAAGGCCGCTCCTCAGGCCTGTGGTCTCTCCGGGGCCGGAGTCTGAGCCTCAGCTTCAGCTTGTAGATAGATGGTACTCTTCGGGGCTTCCGCAGTGTTCTCTGGCCCCTGCCTGGACGTGCCTTGGCTTTGTCAGAATTGGGGTCCAAGGGCAAAGGTGTGGGGGCTTCCAGGCTGGCAGACACAGGAGGGGTTGAGCAGGTCTGCCCTCCTGGAGCTGGGACCTTCCTCATCCTGGTGTCCTTGGCACCCAGGACTGCCTTTGTCCTTGGCCCACTCTCTCTGGTTCCCAGTTTCCCCTTTGGGCTTCCTGGGCCTGTGGTAACTGCCAGCTTAGGGGAGCCTGGAGGGGCAGCCTTCCAGGCGCCCAGGTCCACTTTAATGAGGGGTGGAGGGCCCTGAGCCAGTTCTTGGATGACTTTGTCATAAGGACCCCCAGGCTCAGGCCACCGCCCACCCAGGCTGGGGACGTAGACTCCACTGCGAGGGATGAGCCCAGAACCTGGGCCCCGGGGGTGGGCCGTCCCCACCTCTAGCAGCTTCATGTTGGCCAAAAGCTCCTCCTCAAGGCTATGGCAGATGGCTGGCTTCTTGATCCCACCCAAGGTCAGGGGCGTGTCCAGGCTCTGGGACTCTCCGGCTTCTGCTGTCACCCAGACATCCAGCTTCTGGACCCCTTGCCTTCCTTCCACAGAGCAGTCCCCACGACTGGACCCAGCCAGGACTCCAGTGGCAGCCCCTGGTGGTATGGAGCTTCTCTCCAGTTCTGTTGTAAAACCTCCACTTTCAGTACCTGGAAAGCTTCCTCCTGGAGTGGGAGGTCGGGCAGGGGCCAACTGGACAGGGATCTTGGTGGGTCCTTTAACGGGGGATGGAGAACGGACGGACACTGGCTCCCTGAGCTGGGAGGGAGCATCACCCCGAGGCGGCTTCCTGGGGCCCATGGGCTTGGCTGACGGACTGGAGTAACGAGGCAGGGGAGATGGTCCTCTTGCTGGGGTCCCTTTGGCAGCAGCCTCAGGGCCTCTGAGTCTCTGGGGGGTGGGGGTCCTGGGATGGGTTCTCCAGCTGTCTGTCTCCTCATGAACCCAAGATGTAGGAGTCCTTCCCCTGGGGAGCTCAGGGGGGTGTCTGTCCTCCCTCTTCCCTGAGGAGGTGCACTGTGGGTCTCGGCCCCTGGGGGTGGGTGAGGATTGGGGGCTGGGTGAGCTGTGCCCAGCTGGCAGCTGCCTCTCAGGTGGGGCGGGTGGCTTCTCCTGGCGCCTGAAAGGGAGAATCATAAGGCTGTCAGGGTCGCCTAAGCCAGCCCCCTGGCTCTGGGAAGGGCTGGCCTTGCCCCAACCAGAACTCCAAGGGGGCCAGACTTCATGTGGAAGGAAACAGATGTTCCCTCTCTCTCTGTGTCTGTCCAAGGATATTCCTTATGGCAGATACCGTTTAACTTTATTCTCCATCATTCCCTTGAAGCAGGTAGAAAGCAGCCTGGTCTGCAACCTGGGTTACTTCAAACCCAGCAAATACAGGTCACCAGTCTTAGGTGGCAGGGGAGTCTTAGTGTCTGCTCTACCATGAAATGGCAGCAAGGCCTTGCATAAGCCTGTTCCTTTTATGGGCCTCAGCTTCCTCATCTGTGAAATGGGAGCACATGAAGTAACTAAATAGTCCCAAAGGTATTGGGTGCTTTTTTGGTTCTGAACACCTGAGGTCTTGTTGGGGTGAGGGTACTGCCAAGAGACTCATTCCCTTCATCTTGGGGTGGGGTGGCCTCTGAGAATGTGGGCTCCAAAGGAGAAAGAGGCCCTGCCGTCCCTCCCCTGTACCTCAGGAATGGTGGTGTCTCTCTGAGGACCCCTGCCCCTGCTCACCATTCACTGCGAGGTGTGGGGGAGGAGGCGGGGGGCCTCAGCTTCCGGCCTGAAGAGGTGTATGTCTTCCAGTCCACGGGGGGCAGTGGGCTCTGAGAGCGGCTGATGGTCATCGTAGGCTGTGGCTGCCAGGGCTCATCCAGCACCCTCACTTCGTGCTGCACCGGTGGGACCGGGGGCTTCAGGAAGCTGCCTGGCTTGTGTGCTACCAACACAGCCCCCAGAGAGGAGAGGAGGAAAGGATGACATTCCTGCTGCTGGCTCTCGCCACAGCTGTTCCACACTCCACGCCCCACACTAGAGACAGTGGGACCTACAGGGGCAGGGACAGCACCAGTGCCAGAATGTCCTTATAGGGGTTCAGGGGATGAAATCCGGTGCGAGGGCTCAGCAGGGGACTTATATAAAGCGGCATTTGTATTGCAAGTTCACATATTTTACGTAGAATGAATGCTTATTAGGGGGCTGGAGGTGCTGGTGGGATTACTGGAGGACTAAAGACCCCTCCAGGTCATGCTTGGTGCCACCGCTGTGGACATCACAGCCCGACCTAAGCCCTGCCAAGATGCACCCTGACCAAATGCTGATTCTCTGTGTTTGGCGCCATCTTGTGGCTGGAATTGGTATCGCACCTATGCCTGCTCAGCTTGCTTTCTGGAGCTGAGGGGGCACCACACCTGTACCTTCTATAGCATCTTCTTTTCTCCATATCCCCCTCCTCCACCCCACACACCTCTTGCCCCTGGAGTTCATACCTACCTCCCACTTCCAGCCTCCCAACCCAGAGCGCAGGGAGGGGATTCGCAAGGGACTCACAGAGGGAGGTACACCTGCAGGGGTCGTGTTTGTCCAAATAATGGCCCAGGGTGTCCCAGCCGCCCCCGACACGCACCATCACGTGGTTCCGGAGGACCTGCAGGGGGGCAAGTATAAGGTAGAGGACAAAATGGAGAGTGTGTCCTCTTTCTGGACCAGCCTGCCGGTTCCTAGCACAACCCCACCCATGTACACATGCAAATATTCCCTTGTAGTTGGGTGTGTGCATATTTTGCCACCTGAGTCTCCTCTGTGATGGGCATCAGATGACACATGTTGTCAAGGGTGGAGGCAGGTCAAACAGAAAGTTGTCCCACAATGAAACCAGGCATCGCACAAGCATTGTGCTGTCTGGCGCAGAGCCCTCTCCTCTCCCTTCGCGGTAAAGGGTTCCCCCTGCGCATGCTTGTACAGTGGGGCCTTGGCTTACGAGTGTCCCGACTAACGAGTTTTTTTGAGATATGAGCCGTCTCTCGGCCGATTTTTTGCTTTGAGTTGCAAGCTCAAAAAAATTCGGGTTACGAGCCAGCTTCAGATACCCCACCGCTAGTTGGCACAGCGAATGTCACAGTGATTTGACATACGAGTAATTTGAGTTAGGAGCTCCGTCACAGAACGAATTAAACTCGTAAGTCAAGGCCCCGCTGTATTGGAAACGGGGCCCTGGCTCTGCAGCGTGTGTCAAAGAACCCGGGGGGCTCTGCCCCACTCCACTCGGTCACACAGTCTCTCTAGGCCTCCATTTTCGCCGTTGAAAAGTGGGGCCACAACTCCTTGCCCCAACCTATTCACAGGGCTGTTGGCTCAGGGCCTGGGTGCGGGCCTTGGGAGCTGGCTCTGTCCCCAGCTGTGGCCTGTGCCCTAAAGGGCTTGGCCATGTCCCTGAGCTGCAGGCCACCCCCCTGGGTACAGACTGTTTCTACAGAGGGTCAGCCAGGTATGGAGGTGGGGGAGGGAGCCGGAGGCACATTTCAGCTTGTCCTACTGCTCACAGTGCAGAAGGTACCAAGCCAGGCACCTGAGGGGTGAACTCTGAGGCCCCTGTGGCTGGGCCGTGCACTGGACACAAACTTGGGGTTCTCAAGCCCCTTGCTCTGACCAGGCCTGTGGGTGGAGTGGCGGTGATAGAAGCTGGGAGGGCCCTTCATACCTCACTTCTGCCCGGGACCCCTCAGAATCAGGCTAAGTTAGAGGCAGATGGTGGGGGTGGTTCTGGCTGCCCCAATGGAAGC